CCCCACTTGCCAAACCCTAAGCCTAGGCCTAAACAAAGCCTAAGCCGAAGTCTAGGCTTAAGCCGCAGCCTAAGCCTAAGCCAAGCCTATACTAAGCCTTAGCCTAAGCCTAAGCATAACCTAAGCTGAAGCCAAAGCCTTAGCCTAAGCCTAAGCCGAAGCATAATCCTAAGCCAAGCCTAGACTTAACCCTAAGTCTAAGCCTTAGCCAAGCCTAAGCTAAGCCTATAGTAAGCCTACCTAGGCCCATTAACACCGACTAATGGCAATGCTTTATCCGCTATGAGCACCATCGTCTCTGTCTATGTCTTGGTCTCTCCGCGTAAATGGGTGTCGACGTACTAGATATATCCTGAATATCCGCTCCCACGACACTTGTTAGCCCATCTAGGCCCAAATTTTTCGCTAATCCACACTGGCTCAAGGGCCCGCAAGCTGGTCACCACCTCCCGCTCGCCTCCCCGGATTTATGGCGCAAAATTGGGCGCAGTTTTTGTGCGGGCGGCGCGCCCCATGTGTTGGCCCCGGGGCCCTGGGCAGATTATGGGCGCGCCTGATCCCCGGCCGAGGGGGCTCGGGCGGCTGTTTAACGGGGGATACGGTAGCCGGAAGGGCAATAAAATTGGCTGGCTTGATTACGTTTGAGGACCCAACGGGGCTTCTGTTGATCTTGGGGCAGGGGGATTAAATGATCTCTGCTAGTTGCCCTGGGTTTTAATGAGTGCCTAGACAATTAATAGAAACTGTTTTAATAGTATTTTTAGTCATATAGCCGCCCTTTCCTAAAGAATCTCTGCTAGCCTGCCCTTACCTAAAGAATATCTTCTAGCCTGCCCTTTCCTAAAACATCTCTGCTAGCCTGCCCTTATCTAAAGAATCTCTGATAGCCTGCCGGCCTTTCCTAAAGAATCTCTGCTAGCCTGCCCTTCCCTAGATAATCTCTGCTAGCCCGCCCAACACACATGAATACTACCGTACCAGCGGTCACCCGCTTTTTTCTTCATTCTCCCTCTAAAGCACAGTAATAACTACCGTAACCCCTTTGGCCCCAATTTCCTCGTCTCGTTAACCTAGGTGCTAGCTCACCCCTTAAAAATGTCATTTTCAGAGGGGGGCTTGTGTCGCCAGGGTCCGAATCGGATTTGGGGGCTAACGAATCGAGGGTAACGTGGAGGGCTTTGTAGCCCTAACGGCCAGGGCCACCGGGCCCTGGAGCACAAAGCCCCTGGCCCCTGCCCCTCCCCGGACCCTAAGCACCGCCACACCAATTTAATTCCGGGGGCCCCGAAACTGGGGCCTAACCTAAGAAGGGCCCCTGATTTCCTGGCCCCAGATTTTGGAGGGTGAATAAGCGGAAATTAGAGGTCCCCCAGTTTAGAGGCTAACCTGGCGGGCTAAAGGGAATGCTCAGGCTTGGACTCAGGCCTGGGACTTGGCTTAGGCTTGAAATTGGGCACAGACTTGGGCTTAGCGTAGCTTGGCTTGTCTTGGGCCTACGCTTAGGCTTAGGCTAAGGCTCAGGCCTGACAAGCGAAGGCAACGACCTCATAATGCCAATTAGGCGCCGAATTACGTAAGCATCACATCCCCCCTCAGCTTCAAAAGTGGCTTGAAAAGCTTCATCCCTGCACTGCCCCCAATGGAATGCCCCCGGGGGCCCACTTGGCCCCGTGGCCATGCCCAGGGCCCTGGGGCCAATTCGGATGATCTGCCCATTTAGGGTGCGGGAAGTGGCGCCCGGGGAGCATATTCACATTGCACAAAATTCACATTTCCAAGCCGGGGGGTTCAGGAGGGGATGGCTGACCCGGGGAATCGCTTGGAGATAGCTCTGGCCACGCAGCAAAATAACACAGGAATTTGACGAAAAATTGGCCTTAAGATGCAAAAGTAAATTGGGTGAAAGAACTAGAACAATCCTTAAGCTTAAGTCTAGTTCTAAGCCTATGCCCAATCCGAAGCCCTAAGCCTACGCCTAAGCCCAAGCCTAAACCTAAACCTAGGTTTAAGCCTAACTCAAGCGGAAGCCTAAGCCTAGACCTAATGCTAAGCCTAGGCCGAAGCCCTAAGCCCCAAGCCTTTCTCGCATTCCAAAATGATGTCCGCAGCTTTGTTTTCACAAATCACTCAAAATTAGGGCAAAAGAAATTTGAAAGTTTGTGGTATCCGTGGTTTGTCAAGCTTCCCCATCCCTTTAAAACGCTTGCCGCGTACCCGACTGCCATCTGAATTGGCATAAGCTGATGGGCGCCGTTGGGCCGGGCCCCAGGGCCCAATGGCTGCCCAGGGCCCCGCCCTTAGCCCCCACCAGCCGCCCCCTTAAATTTCGCGGATGCCCCGAGGGCACTTGGGAGGTCCTTTGGGCCCTACCGTAGTCCGTGCCGGGGGGCGGCAAACTTTCAGCATCCTGGCTGGCTATAAATTGGGGGGGCCCCCCCCGGAGAACAAAAAAGAATTTTTGCAATATTTTCTTTGATCCTGTATGTGTTTTCTAAGGAGTTCTGCTAGCTTCCCTTGTTTTGGTCCCTTGTAATGCTGGGGTTTAAAACCTAGTGGTACAATTTAGGGTGATGAAGCCACAGGGTCATCTGCTGGAGGAAGCGATGCTCTCCATGCTGCCAAGGGGCTTCGTATTGCCACAGGTTGGAGGAATTTAGAAGCGAGAGAGAAAGAGGAAGAGAAAGTGAGAGAGCGAGTGAGAGCGAGAGCGAGCGAGAAATAGAGAGCGAGCGAGAAAGAGCAAGAGAAAGCTTTTCGATAAAGCTAGCTTTGTTTTAGGTAGCCCAATGGCTTCAGCGGCAACACGCGCTTGGAGCAGGATTGCTGGATCCGCTGGGGCAGGTCAGTGCACCTTAAATATACCTTAAAAGAGCATAAAAACCATTAGTCCTTGCTTGTACGGGTATGACAGCATACTTTTAATAGGAATTTTTGTAGCCGTCATCATATTTTGAAATTTTCTAGAGTAAATCGGTTCTTTCGCATTATCGGGGGGACCAACTTTTCCTTTAGAGCTAATTTTTGAAATATAAATGGTGGAAGTGTTTCTAAACAAGTTTTTACTATTCTTGAACGTAAAAACTTAACAGAATAGTAAAAATATAAAAAACAACGATTTTTTCAAGCAAGAATTCGCAAAATTTCGACTTATCAAAGTTTTTGGATAGTTCTTCTAGTCTAGTTTCTACTTCCTAATTCTATATTACTAAAAACACCATTAAAACACTTTCTATTAAGTAACTAGGCATTTCTAAACTTATATAAAAAGTATGGTCCCCCGATAATGCGAGAGAACCAAAAATCCTTTTACAAGACCGAGCAAACCCGGGGAAAATCTACCCAAAGCATGTACTGTAATCCTCAAAAAACCCCAGATATGTTTTTTATACTCCCTCCCATCCACCGTAGTCTATCGGAATCCCCCTAAAAACTCCCAAGATTCACCCCTTTCCCTCCGGGACCCATTTTTCGCCCTCCAGGGCCCCGGGCGGGGGGACACGGTGTGAGCGATGTGAGAGCTATTGCCTCGGATTTTGGGCTGTGATGCCCCGGGGCCAGGTCGCCAAAATGTTCCCCTGGGCCCCCCAGAACACGGGCATACATTAAACGGTGCCCCTGGAAAGAATGGAGAAACAAAAGATCACTGGAGATTACGGGGGGCTCCTCGGAACGGGGCTCGATGGCCCCTGAATTCGACCCCGGGATTACCCCGGGGGCCCATCGCCCCCACCCAGCCCGGGGCCGCTTAGTCCCCTTAGGGCCCATTCCTGGCCCCTCTTAGGGCCCAGGTGCCCAGCTACCGTAGTCTCGGCCAGAGGGGATGATAGAGAGGATCTGTACATGATGATGGCGGTGCTGCACTGTTAGCGGGGGGGCGGCGGGATTTTCAGCAGGGGGAGAACTGCTTTCGACTTTTTCCACCTCCACCGACCTGTTTATGATATTTTATGTATTATGTTTTTCTTAGTTTTTGATTGCCAGAAAGTTGTAAAAAACTTTTAAAGAACTTAAATACTCTAAAATTTTCCATTTTTTGTTTATTTTTTACCAAAAAAGCTAATAATTTTCGAAAATTTTGCTTAAGTTGATATGGTTTTTATCTCCAATATATAAAATGTTATACAAAAGGTTTATATTTTGCTATAGGGCCGTAGACAAAGACAAGGGAAACCTTGGTTCCGTCCCGCTAACAGTCCAGCACCCTGATGGCAGGCTAGCAAAGATCATGGAGGAAAGGGCAAGCCGCCCCGCTACCTGAGGCTACCGTAATGAGGAGTGTCGTGAAAAACGCTAATTCTTAAGAGCAGGAATCGGAAATGCGAATAGCTAGCTAGCGAATGGTTGCAGGAAGCGTAAGCCCCACGCTCTAACAAAAATAGCTTTTTTCGACCGTAATTCAATGGCCACAGAAACGGCCAAGAAACCAGCGCCCAAAAATCAATAATAACCCCAAGACCCTGATTTCATTGGATTCGCTTTCCCCGCTCTGCTCCCAAAGCGGGCGCCACCCGCTGCGCGCATCTGCCAGGCGGAGGGTTCTTGCTCTGAATCTGGGCCCCCGATCAGAGGGCCCATTTCGCGGCCGCGCCTATAAATCGACCCGGAAAGCGGGTGGTGGCAAGTGGAAGGGGGGAGGACACTTTTTGTGGATTTAATTGCCATCAACACCCCATTGAATGGGACCATCAAAGCCAAGCCTGGCGAAACGACGACCACCCACAAAGAAGGGGGCTAGCAGAGATTCTTTGAAAGGGCAGGCTAGCAGAGATTCTTAAGGGAAGGACAGGCTAGCAGAGATTCTTTAGGAAAGGGCAGGCTAGCAGAGATGATTTGCGAACCTGGTTTAGCAAAGGACTCATTTTTCCGTTCCAGGATGCCTCCTCCCCGTCGTCCAGCACAAATCTACTAGTCGTAGAAGAACGAGCAAGTAAGCTTCAAAAACGAGCAGTTTTTTGATATAATGAAATCATATTCCTTTGAACGTAGACCTCTATTTTCAGATGCAGAATGCGTCGTTTGTGGCGACAAATCGAGCGGCAAGCACTACGGACAAAATTCGTGCGAGGGGTGCAAGTCGTTTTTTAAGCGGTGAGTTTCGGGAAAAGCTAACAAGCCAAAGAAAGCCAAACCTAAGCAAAGCCTAAGACAAACCTAAGGCTAAGCAATCCATTTCCAGATCGATCCGTCGATCGCTCTCCTACACCTGTCGCGGCCAAAAAAATTGCCCCGTCGATATTAACCACCGGAATCAGTGTCAGTACTGTAGACTGCGGAAGTGTTTGAGGATGGGCATGCGGAAAGAAGGTACGCACCTCTTTATTTCTCTCTCTCTCTCTCTCTCTCTCTCTCTCTCTCTCTCTCTCTCTCTCTCTCTAATGCACTTGTTTTTTCAGAGCGTCTCTCCCTCCTGGCTTCGGTACAGCGCCCCCGACTACCGTACCCCAACCCACCACCCTTCCCCTTCCTACCGTTCCCGAACTTTGGCAATTTCCCAAATTTCCCACATTTCTTGCCATTGCTGGGCCCTGGTCCACTATTGGCCTCCAATCTGACGACGCCAGAGAACTTGAAGAGCTCTCCGGAGGAGGTGAGTTCCAAAGCGCAACCTAGCAGAGAGAATTGAGGAATTGGAGGGGCAAGCTAGCAGAGATTTTTTGGTTCTTTCGCATTATCGGGGGACCAACTTTTTTCTTAGGATCTGATTTTTCCAACATAAATAGTGAAAGGGTTTTTACATGGTTTTTGCTATTCCTAAGCGTGAAAACTTTACAATTTTTTTTGAAAATATCGAACATATTGAGTTTCGACCAAAAATGGCCGGTTTTTGAACAAAATTTGGACGTTGGTATGATTTACTTTTTTTTAGTTTTTTTTACTTTAGATATTAATAAGAGCTATTAAACACTTTTTAGTAAATAACTGGGTTTTTCTAGGCTTCTACAAAGAGTTCCCCCCCCCCCCCCCCGATAATGCGAAAGAACCGATGTTTTAAGAAAGCTAAACCAGATATTTCAGATCATCCCGAAATCAACCGATCAAAATGTTGAACAACTCTTTGAGCGTCTACTTGATGTGGAAGGTATCGTAGCTTCAAATTATCAGATCTGGGAATATTTTCAGAGAATCTGCCGATCGAGCCGAATTTTCCCAAATTTTTGCTAGCCTGGGCGCGTGAGTTCAAGCAGTTCGAAGAGCTGTCCTTACAGGATCAGGTGATGTTCTTGAAAACTCGAAAAATAACATCAAATTTTCTAGAAAGCGCTGCTACTGCATAATTACACGTCGCTGGCATTGATTTTCGATGAAGAGGCCGGAAATGAGGTATAGAATGCGAGAGAATCGATTCTTAAATGGCCTCTGCTAGCTTGTCCATTCCTAAAGAATCTCTGCTAGCCTGCCCTTTCCTAAAGAATCTCTGCTAGACCGCCTTATAATTAGCAAAATCCGGCGTAATACGAGCATATTTAGGTCATCTCCACCCGCTTGAAGCAGATGGAGCTCAACAAAATCGAGCGAGTACTGCTGAAGGGGATTTTGTTGTTCACTTCCGGTAAGTCCTAAAGTTTCTTTATGTTAAAACAAAATGTCACAATGTTTAAAAATAAGTTTGATTCAGATAAATAGCACGAAAATTTAGAAGGCGTCGAACTGGAGGCCAAACCGGCGATAAGAAAGCTGCCAGAAGCCTTGGTGCACGTCTTGGCAGACAAGTTAAGGGATAGAAAGGTACATTTTTGCATTAAAAGTTAATATTGAGCATACTGCAATTGAAAGAAATCTATTTCATTGGTTTAATGGCACCATTTCCTGGTTATAAAATTTAATTTTGTATTTCAGGACGGTCGTCTCGCTAAAATCCTCCTCTTCCTGCCCTCCCTCCTGAATCTAGAGATTTCAGAAAGCGGAAGATCCGGAATCGAAGCCCTCTTTCAAGTAAAACAGAAATTGTTCAATCACTATTTATTAATTTCAGCCCTCGAAACCTACCCCAAAGATGTGGTCAATATCGGGAATTCTGCCCGAATAGCTTGATAGAATTTTGTATTCCTGATGTTTTTTGATTTTACGATTCTTTGAGGTGCTTTGTGCAATTATTCGATTTGTGATCGAGACCTAGTCAAATAAAAATGGCCATATTGTATCAGTTTTATTTTAGGCTTTCATGAATAAATATTTTAAACTTGAGCTATGAAGCGTATGCCTAAACCTAAGCCTAGCGCAAGCTAAGCCTAAGTCTAAGCCTAAGCCTAAGTCTAAGCCTAGTCTAAGCCTAAGTCTAAGCCTAAGCCTAAGCCTAAGCCTAATCTAAGCCTAAGGCTAAGCCTAAGCCTAAGCTAAGCCTAAGCCTAAGCCTAGTCTAAGCCTAAACCTAAGCCTAGCCCAACCTAGGCCTAAGTCTAAGCCTAAGCCTAAGCCTAAGCCTAATCTAAGCCTAAGTCTAAGCCTAAGCCTAATCTAAGCCTAAGTCTAAGCCTAAGCCTAAGCTAAGCCTGAGCCCAGCCTAAGCCTAATCTTAAGCGAAAAGCTAAGCCTAAGTAAAGCTAAAGCTTTTTCCCCACCCAAACATATTAAAGCCATAAAACTAGAAAAGCTACAGTACCCGTCGTTTCAAACCCACTGCACCGGCAATACACATATTTCATCTTGAAAAAGTTAAACCCCTTATATCATCGCACTTCGGTCGACGCGGCCGGATGCAATTCCCGCAATCCCAGAAAATTGCAATTCCTGGCGATATAAGGATCCCCCCAGGCCTCTGGCGGGCCCTAAGCTGGGCCCTAAGCCGCGAAATCCACCTGCCCGCTTCTCCTCTCAACAACACACACCCACCCTCGATTTCAGAGAGGCTGAAAATTCGCAGAATTATTCGATTCTAAATTCAGCCGGCAGTGCCTTGTAATTTTCTTCGAATTCTATAATTCTAAATATTTTCAAAATTTACATATTTATATGGGCAACGTCACCCTGTTGGTCAACACCACCGCCGAGCTGGACCTCGAGACGAATTTGCAGATTTTTAGTACGATGAAATTTGTGTCGGGTGAGTGCTTAGGCTTAGGCTTAGCCTAGCTTATGTTTAGGTGCGGGCTTAGCTTAGGCTTAGTTTAGGCTTAGGCTCCTAATATCAGTACTAATCACTTTGTAGCAGCCTTTATAATTCAAATACAAGTTTGAAAAGGATTAAACAGGTTTTCTATGTCCGAAAAATCCTTAGTCATGCTTTTCCTGCTTTTTAAAGTGTTTGTGAAGGCAGAAGAATCTGTAAAATCACCGATTTCGATTTTACACAATATTTACAGTAGTCACAACGATGATCAATATTTTGGCATTGTATATTATTGTAATGAGGACGCCGGCGCATATGCGGGCTTATGGACGAGCGCTGGCAATCTATCAGGTTTGTTCTCTGCTAGTCTACCCTTTAATTCACAAACAATCTGTGCTAGCGCTTTCTCTCACTCTCTCACTCTCTATCTATCTCTCTCTCGCTCTCTCTCGCTATCTCGCTATCTCTCTCTCTCTTTCTCGCGCTCTCGCCATCTCCCGCTTTCTTTAGCTAGGTCTCTCTCTCCAGCTGGTTCTCCCTCAAACCCTCAATTCCTAAATAATCTCTGCTAACGTGCCTCTGCAATTCCAAAATTATCTCCGCTAGCCTGCCCGCCATCCAACCCATATTTTTCAGATCATCTCCCTACTAACCGACTCCTTGGTCAGCTCGGCGCTAGTTCCGTATTTCATATTTCCGGTACCAGGCGGGTATCCTCTTGGTTGGATGACTCGAGTCGGCTTTTCCACGCAGCTGCAAATCGTGAGTTATAATTGGTAAAAGCGCCGGTCAGGATATTGGAGTGGAGCTCATTTTTGTGACATTTTGTTCGATTTATTTTACCGAAATCTCAGGGCAGGCTAGCAGAGAACATTGAGGAAAGCAAACGATGGCATTCGGGACTCTAGACAAGCTAGCAGAGACCATTAGGGAGAGAATAAGCAGTGTAGCAGAGATTATTTTGGAATCAAGGGCAAGCTAGCAATGGCCATTGGTGAATGGAGAGGGCAGGCTAGCAGAGAATATTCAGGAATATCAGGAAGAACTAACCGGATGTTAGCTTGTTGAGAGCGTGGCTAGCTAGCAGCGATCATTTGGGTTCGAAGAGCAAGCTAGCAGAGACCATTTCGGAATCAAAGGCATCCTAGCAGAGATCCCTGAGGCAATTGAATATATCTAACCGGAAAAATGCACACAAAAAAGCAGATGGCCTTCTCGGGTTCATTTCTTCTGAAAACAAATTTCACCTGCCGGTCTAAAAAAGCGCCCGGAAATCAAGTTTTGTTCTTATAAATGAAACGAATGATAATTGTATTTGTTTCATATTCAATTAATTGATTTGGGCCTTGGATTGGGAAATAAAACGGTAATTATTATTAAAAAAATGGCATTTAGACACTCGGATTCATGGCCGGAATTCACTTGGGGGTGATTATCGCCGTGATGTTCCTGATTCGACATCAAGCGATTATGCCGGAGGTTCATCCCTTGAAGCTGGCCCCACGGTAATTAGGTTGATCATACTAAAACAGTTCATTTAAAAAAAGATAACAAGATTAAATTATTCAACAATTGATTTATATCGTCTATTATTAACAATTTAGTATAAACTACACCTTCTATGCCGTGATCCAAATGCTGCCCTATCTTCACATTGGCCTCTTTTTCTTTGAAGTCTTTACCAATGACGATCAACCGTCGGCTAAGAAATATTATAAAGAGGTGAGATTTTGAGGTAATAATGTAGTTTTTTTCTAAGCGCCTAATTTTGGAAATATAAATAGTGGAAAGGTTTTTAAATGGTTTTTTACTACCCCGAAACGTAAAAACTTCACAAATTTTTATTCAAAATATTAAAAAATATCGTTTTGTTAGATCGAAAATTGTCACTTTTTTTGACTAAAACTGCGAAAATTCTAGTTGAACTATAGCTTTATCTTCCTAACACGTTATGAAAACACTTTCTATCAAGTTACTAGGCATTTCTAGACTTATACAAAAAACTTCGATCCCCCCTTCCCGATAATGCGAAAGTACTTTTTTAATAGCGTTCATTTTCTATAAATTATTGTTTAGAAATACCCATTCTTACGTCGTTTCATCGACGTGGACACTTTTTACGTGTTTACACCGGAAGTCGGCACCCTGGTGGTGGCAAATATCTCGATATGGATCGCGTTTTTTATTGTTGCTGTTTTTGGTAAGTTTGCAAAAGTTTAAATTGTAAGTTTTAGTTTTATTAAGGTTACAAACCCACAGTATTTTTTTTGCCACAATCAGCTTTTCCCTGAAATTTAATATTTTAGGGGCGTGCGGCTCGAGTTTCCACGTGCTGACACACCGAAAAACGATGATGAGCGCGCGGACGTACAAATTACAGCAGCAGTGGATTAGCAAGTGTATTTTACAGGTATGTGAATTGACCGGCAAGCTAGCAGAGAACATTTGGGAAATGAGGTAGGCTAGCAGAGATTCTTTAATAAAGCGTAGGCTAGCAGAGATTCTTTAGGAACGAGCTCAAGCTAGCAGAGCGCCTTTCGGAAACTAAGGAGCCGGCTAGCAGAGATCATATGGGAAGGGGGAAAGGCTAGCAGAGATCCTTTAGGACAATTTCAGGTCGCGATCCCGTTGATAACCTTCCTATGTCCGGTTTTCTTGTCCTTTTACATCTATTTCACCGATGCTATTCACTTAACAGGTATGTTTTGATAAAATGTGAATTTATCCTACTATCCTACTATATATAAAAAAAATAGCGTCTGTGTGTGTGTGTGTGCATTTGCATGCAACTTCCGTCCGTATGTTCCAGTCGTATCTCAATAAAGGAAGAAGCTAGGGGTATGTATGATACGTCATTAGGTGCGTAATGATCATGACACGACTGCACACCTATCAGATTTTTGAAAATGAGCTGTTTTCGATATTGAAAATAGGTTTTTGTGAAAGTCTCGCTCGACCTCTTTGTTAGGACAAATTAGAATCCACCGGAAGTTGCGGTCGCCTAGATAAAGGGACGGAGGGGGCGCTTTTGATTTTTTGTCTTCGCAATTCGGGCAATATTATACAAAGTCAAGAGTCAGACGGCGCCAGGGTTGAAAAGCCGCGAAGCGGTTTTTCAACCCTGGTTTTTTATCTAATTTTGATATAACATTTCAGGATTAATGCCGGTTGCCGTTTCTGTACTTGGACAGCACGGCTTTTGCTCTACCGTAGTGACGATGTTGCTCTACCGACCTTATCTCGTCTACCTCAAGCAACGAACCTGGGATTTTTTGGCCTTTACCTTGCCTTGTAAGTGGAGAGGACTTTGTGGGCAGGCTAGCAGAGATTCTTTAGGAAAGGGCAGGCTAGCAGAGATTCTTTAGGAAAGGGCAGGCTAGCAGAGATTCTTTAGGAAAGGGCAGGCTAGCAGAGATTCTTTAGGAAAAGGCAGGCTGGCAGAGATTCTTTAGGGGTGACAAAATGACTCGACCTAGGCAAGCCAGCAGAAGCATTTTTGGGTCTTTCAATCTAGTAATGCCTGAATTTTCAGTCCTATTCGAGCCTCGTACTTTTGCGGGACTGGAAGCGGCGACGATAGTATTCCGACGTAGTCAGGACGGTTATATGCGACGCTTCTCCTTAGTGGCTCGAATTGTCGCCACACGTCATCACTTCAATCAGCAATTTTCACAAACCAATCAGAATATCATAGGGGTCACCACTCCTGAATAAAGAATAAAAAGGCAAAAAATCTGTTTTAAAATCTTGGTGCTAGACAGTTAACGGGGGGGATTCTTAGCAGGGCAACGGCTTTTTCTTTTTCTACCTAACCTAAAAAATACCTGTTGATGACATATTATGTATTTTTATAGTGTTTTTAGTGGCTGTTGAACGCTTAGAAGTTATAAAAATATTTTTAAAAATGTTGAAACTTCGAAAATTTCACCTTTTTAATCATTTTTCTTAAATTTTTTACAAAAAGTCAAACATTTTATAAAATTTTTTTTTTTTTTTTTTTTTTTTTTTTATATAAAATATATATTTTAATGATAAAAAAATATTTTTTGTTTTTTTCATAATTTTTAATTTATTAATAACATTTGCACAATGTATCAGCGCCCTTCTTCCACTTCTGTCTCATCCTCATCTTCCTCTTGCACGACGTCATCCTCAGAATCGGGCTCTGATTCCGAGTCGTCGTCGTGTATTCTGGACTCCTCAGATTCCTCTGCCCAGTCGTGCTCCTTTTCGGGTTCCAGGAGGTTTTCTTCAGGGTTTTGAGCGTTTTTAGACACTTCTTTGTCTTCAGGATATTCAACTAATCGTTCGACATGCAGATAGAAGGAAGAAATGGCTATTCTGTAGATGCCAGTCTTCGATTCTTCAAACGACGTCGTTTCCGGGCCCTTTAGATGGTCGAGCTGAAAATTATGCGGGATTAAAGGGACTGGGCAGGCTAGCAGAGATTATTTAGGAAAGGGCAAGCTAGCAGAGATTCTTTAGGAAAAGGCAGGCTAGCAAAGATTATCTAGGAAAGGCAGGCTAGCAGAGATTCTTTAGGAAAGGGCAGGCCAGCAGAGATTTTTTAGGAAAGGGCAGGCTAGCAGAGATTCTTTAGGAAAGGGCAGGCCAGCAGAGATTTTTTAGGAAAGGGCAGGCTAGCAGAGATTCTTTAGGAAATCACCTGGCAAGCTAGCAAATATTCTTTGGAAATTAACGTGGTAAACTACTCATTGCGAATTGGCCTTCTGGTAACTAACCGAGATCTGATCCACAGGCCGAAGAATTAGACTCTTGAAGCGGTATGACGCCTCTTCGTTGCGAATTTTCTGAAATTTATGCGTTTTCGGTTTTTCGAAATTTGCATACCTGGAGACATGCCGAAATGTCGACTCCTGGCATGAATACGTCCAGTGTATCGCGGCGTAGCTTTAGGAAGTCGATTTTTCTTTGGACCAGCTGGCCGTTGGGTAGTAGAATTTGGCGTGGTTGTCGCAGGGAGAAGCATAGGGTTGAGGTGGAGGGGATCTGGAAAAGCGGAATATCTAGAAAGGCGTGAGATAGAGGCAAGGAGAGGGGGGGGGGGAGAGAGAGAGAGAGAGAGAGAGAAATAGAGGGAGAGAGGGAGAGAGAGCGAGAGAGAGAAACCATACCTTTGCATCACATAAAATCGCCGACAACTTCTCGGTATCAAAATGCCGACAAGCGCAGTAGGGCGGGATTTCCGAATGGCAGCAAAAATCTTGATGAATGTGGAGCTGAAAGGGCTTGTAAATCGCATTAAATATTGTATAATCAGCTTTTTAAACATTGAATACCTACCCTCTCAATTCTCGAGCCAACCAGCCGCCCCAACATCACCGGCAAGTCATCTACGCACGGGAATCGTAGCTGCACATTTTCGACGTGTTTTAGATTTAATCGATCGGCGGACCGGGGATTTTTCTAAATATTTTTCATAGCAGATTTATTTTTTATTCCCTATTAGATGTCTTTATTGTATTTTTTAGACTTACCGGTTGAAAAGGGTCGACGAAGAGGCGAAGAGACCTTGCGAGCAGATTTTTCAATACTTCTCGAAATAACCGAGCAGTGCCTTGAGGCGGAAGGTAAATGAACGTGCTGAAAAAGCGGGGTTACAGTAGCCTCCATGATTTCTAACATTTCCCAAAAAATCTCTGCTGGCCTGCCCCCACCTTTCTCTGATCGGCTGATCGAGCAAAATGCTCGTCGACTGGAAGCTGTAGCTTTTCGCCTCGGCGCGTATCGTCTCGTTTCCGCGCTGCAGGTCTAGCCACTGGAAAAAGTAATTATTTAAGTTACGGGTAAGTGCAAGAGAGCGAGAGAGAGAGAGATAGAAAGAGAGAGCGAGAGAGAGAGCGCGATAAAGAGACAGGGAGAGAGAGCGAGAGAGAGAAATTTTGTAATTCCCACTTACCTTCCCGTTCTCCTCTGCTTCCAGCGAGTCCAATCGATTTGGCAAATAGCCAAAATTCCCAATTTTCCGCCGAAGTAGACGATTTGAATGGCGAAGGCCAAGGCGGTCGGGTAGGGACAGCTTTGCAAAAATTCTTTCTTGAATCTCCAAGGGCAGCGTTTCGAAGTCGAATGGCATTCGACCTGCAAGTGTCTAAATCCGCCTATTTAACAAATTAAAACGAAAAACCAGTGGCTTAAAAGGGCAGTAAAGCACAAAAAAAAAACAAATTAGAACAGCCCCGAAAAAATAGGGTTTTTTTGAAAAATATTTATTGACAAGATTACAGTAATCCCATCAAAATTCGACAGCTAGGATAAAACCCGGAATTTCTAAGGCTACGGTAAAGCTACTATAGCTAAAATAATCGTAAAAAACTAAAAAAACTATATGAAAACTACGGTAAGCCAATACAAATGAGGAGGTACATAAAACCGTTAAAAATTTCAAAGCGGCTGCCTGCCGCCAGAAATCTACAGTAATCGTGTTTTTCGGCTATGAAAATCCACTAACCATACCTTTACGTATGCAAATTAAAGGAAAATAGATAATAGAAATAGAAAAATTACCCTTAAAACCACCCTAACCCCAGGGCTCACAAATCATGCGGGATCTAGGGATCCAGTGGTGAAAAGTGGCGGGATGCATGCCTGCGGGCCCAAAAATGGGGTCGTTTGGGGCGAGAGAGAGACAGAGAGAGAGAGAGAGAGAGAGGGAGAGAGAGAGAGGGTGAGAGAGACGAGAAAGAGAGATAGTGAGTACGATGCCTGGGGTCATTATTTTGCCTCTGGCAGCCGATGAATTGCCAGAGGCAGCCGGCTCGACCTCACCAAAGTAGCGATAGGCCAGACGGACCGATCGATCCCCTGAGGGCATCTTTGGGACAAGGTAAGGGAGTCAGACACGCTCCTAAACGATCACTGCTAGCCTGCCCGAATCGCGATCAGAAGCACGTGAATTTGAGATAGAGCTCAAAAGGGCAAATCATGAAATTTTTAAAGAACCTCTGCTAGCTAACCTAGGTGCTTTGGTTTTGGCCAAATTCCCTAATTCTCTCTGCCAGTCAGCCCTTAAATTTAAGGCGTGGATGCTCAGAGGAATTGCAAGATTTCCCGCAAATGATCAATGCTAGTTTGCCCTGGATCTGGGGAGAAATAGCGTCTTTGAAGAATTTCTGCTAGCCTGCCCTTATGTCGTTAGTCTTACGATTGGACGGCTGTAATTAAGGAAAAATCGTAGCACAGCGCTGGGGGTTAGTGAAGTGGACGAATAATTGAACGCGTAATCCCCCAAATAATTGTGGACATAAAGTGGATGTGGATGTTGTGGCCTTATCAGCCGATATACCAACGGCGCTATCATCTTTATCAGGAGCCTAGCAAGCGTAAAAAATATCAATATCGTAAAAGCAACTTGCATGAAATCATAAAATCGTAATCATCATCAAGTTTTACTTGTATTACTCTTCAAAGTTTATTAATTTTTTTAGCGTTTCCTAACGAACTTCTTTATTCCACACCGCATCCCCAATTTAAAGGTACATTTTAAAGCGCAAATCCCCGAAGCAAAGTCCTTTTTTTTAGATCCATTTGTTCGATTTATAGTGACATCGTCTCCAGGTCGACGCTGCACTTGACGAAGATGGTGTCGTCCTGGAAATTCTCTCTCTCTCTCTCTCTGTTGCTCACTCTCTGCTGCTCTCTCTCTTTCTCTCTCTCTTTCTCTCTCTCTCTCTCTCTCTCTCTCTCTCTCTCTCTCTCTCTCTCTCTGTTGCTCTCTTTCTCTGACGGACTATAAACCCTTACCACGATGAACGACTCGAGCTGGGCGAGGTCGCAGAACTTCTGGGCCCCAAAAGCCGCGTTCCGCCCGGAAAAGGTTTTTAAATTTTGAAAATTCGAAAATTTTGTTCATTTTTAATACATTTTTGACCAAAAAAGCAAAATTTTCAAAAATTTGATCACAGAGAAAGATTTTGTGCCCCCCGCTAACAGTCCAGAACCAAAACAGTACGAATCGATAAATTGTTGACGATCAAAATTCCGCAAATGATCACTGCTAGTTTGCCTTGGATCTGGAAGCCACTAGCGATTTAATGAAAAAACGAGATGTTTTTTAAAGAATCTCTCTTAACCTACCTTTAATGCGCCTATAGTTAGTCTTAAAGTCACGCTACGGCCTAGACGACTGTAGTTAAGGAAAAATCATAGCGTAGTGATGAGGTAGACCAGTGGGTGCATAATTGAATGAGTAATTCCCCAAATAATTGTGGACATAAAGTGGATGTGGATGTTGTGGTCTTATCAGCCGATAAACTAACGGCGCTATCATCCTTATCAGGGGCCTCGTAAGCGTAAAAAAATATCAATATCGTAGTCGTTTGCATAATCAGCAGCATAAATTTTTCTTTTCAAAATCTGCAACTCTTCAAACCTTCTTAAATTCTGTTTTTGTAAGTTTTTCTAACCGGCTTTATTCCACACCGTATCCACAATTTAAAGGTACATTTTAAAGCGCAAATCCCCGAAGCAAAGTCCTTTTTTTTAGATCCATTTGTTCGATTTATAGTGGCATCGTCTCCAGGTCGACGCTGCACTTGACGAAGATGGTGTCGTCCTGGAAATTCTCTCTCTCTCTCTCTCTCTGTTGCTCACTCTCTGCTGCTCTCTCTCTTTCTCTCTCTCTTTCTCTCTCTCTCTCTCTCTCTCTCTCTCTCTCTCTCTCTCTCTCTGTTGCTCTCTTTCTCTGACGGACTATAAACCCTTACCACGATGAACGACTCGAGCTGGGCGAGGTCGCAGAACTTCTGGGCCCCAAAAGCCGCGTTCCGCCCGGAAAAGGTTTTTAAATTTTGAAAATTCGAAAATTTTGTTCATTTTTAATACATTTTTGACCAAAAAAGCAAAATTTTCAAAAATTTTATCACAGAGAAAGATTTTGTGCCCCCCGCTAACAGTCCAGAACCAAAACAGTACGAATCGATAAATTGTTGACGATCAAAATTCCGCAAATGATCACTGCTAGTTTGCCTTGGATCTGGAAGCCACTAGCGATTTAATGAAAAAACGAGATGTTTTTTAAAGAATCTCTCTTAACCTACCTTTAATGCGCCTATAGTTAGTCTTAAAGTCACGCTACGGCCTAGACGACTGTAGTTAAGGAAAAATCATAGCGTAGTGATGAGGTAGACCAGTGGGTGCATAATTGAATGAGTAATTCCCCAAATAATTGTGGACATAAAGTGGATGTGGATGTTGTGGTCTTATCAGCCGATAAACTAACGGCGCTATCATCCTTATCAGGGGCCTCGTAAGCGTAAAAAATATCAATATCGTAGTCGTTTGCATAATCAGCAGCATAAATTTTTCTTTTCAAAATCTGCAACTCTTCAAACCTTCTTAAATTCTGTTTTTGTAAGTTTTTCTAACCGGCTTTATTCCACACCGTATCCCCAATTTAAAGGTACATTTTAAAGCGCAAATCCCCGAAGCAAAGTCCTTTTTTTTAGATCCATTTGTTCGATTTATAGTGGCATCGTCTCCAGGTCGACGCTGCACTTGACGAAGATGGTGTCGTCCTGGAAATATCTCGCTCTCTCTCTGTGTTGCTCTCACTCCCTCTCTCTCTCTCTCTCTCTCTCTCTCTCTCTCTCCCTTTCTCCCTTTAACTTTACAAACCCTTACCACAATAAACGACTCGAGCTGGGCGAGGTCGCAGAACTTCTGGGCCCCGAAAGCCGCGTTCCGCTCGCTGACGGGACGTTCAAGGAAAACCTGAAACGACTTTTAAAGGGAGTGTGGCAGCTCGGCTACCCGATTTTCACGCGACGTGATTGGCTTGACGACGTAGCTCTTGTTGTTGCGGTTGCCCTCGAAGGAATTCTAAAGCATCGTCGTTCTCGCTTTCTCTCTCTCTCTCTCTCTCTCTCTCTCTCTCTCTCCCTCACTTGCTCTCTCTCTCTCTCTCTCTGACCTGATCCATCAGCGTAAATGTGACTTTGTGCACAAAAGGCCACGGTAGCAGAGCGTCGAATTCACCTCGCATTATGGCCACGTAGATTGAGAAATACTGGCCTCGCACTGAAAAAATAGGATCTCAAATGATCTCTGCTAGCTTGCCTGGCCCATCGCCGTACGGGCACACGCTGCAGATCATCTTGTAGCCATGGCGTCCGGACATGAATGGGGTCGAAAAGATGGTGGATCTAAGCAAAAATTCTCTAAGAATCGCTGCTAACCCCTAACCAGTAAATGGTCTCTGCTAGCCTGCCTTTCCTAAAGAATCTCTGCTATCCTGCCCTTTCCTAAAGAATCTCTGCTAGCCTGCCGGAAATTCCTAAATGACCTCTGCCAGCTTTCGTTTTCAGATTGGGCTTATATTGTTCTAAACCCACTTTGCCCCCGATTTGGCCTCGTTCAGCTTCTGCCGGAAGTTGTCGATGCGCCAGACGAGCTGGGCCCCGTAGAGCTTCTCGAGGAGGTCACCCTAGTATTCAATCTACACATGCGTAATCTTCGATACCTTAAGCTGCAGCTCCTGCATAGCGCCGGTCATCGTCTCCATTTGGACTTGCATGTGGGCGAGCAGCATCTAGACGTTCAAGGGTTGAAGTCATGCTCCCTTTAAAAGCCAATAAATTGGAGGTCTACCTTCAGCTCGACGACGCCGTCACATAGGTAGGTGAGATGGCGGATGGGCTCTTGGCTGATGTGCTTTTGGAGGGACTGAAAGGGAATGAGAGAAAGAGCGAGAGAGAGAGGGAGAGAGAGAGAAAGGGAGCGAGTCAGAGAGCATATTGAGAAAAACGAGCAAAACCACCGTACCTCTTTCTCACCAGCAAAATTACACCCAAATTCCCCGAACGGGCACCCATTACCCCGTTTGGGGCATAGGGCCTGATGCTCGCGGATCTGAATGGCTTTCTAAACCCTGCCAAATCTACCGTACCTCCTGGCGGGTCACCCCTTCCAACCCACATTGATTCGGGCAGTTGATCCTCGCCATTGGGCATAGCTAGAAAGTTTTTAAAGGACCTGTGAAGCCACAAAAACCCCCCACTTTTCGGTGGATTTCCATGGCCTTGGCCGGGATCTCCTTGCTGCAATTCTCGCAGACGACCCCGCGACGGCCGCACTCCTCGCGGAGGTGCTGCTCTAAATTGAGAAGCTGGCGAGCTAGCAGTGATCATTCAGGAATTTCATAGGACGGTTCACTGCTATATTCCAACAAAGTACCTTAACGTTGCTACCGTAACCCACCCTCATTCTTCTTAGCATAAATCTGCCCGCATCCGTTATTGCAGACAACTTCGTGGAAATCGCAGTTCAGCGCGTGTTCCTGTAATTTTAAAATTTAGTTTAGAAAACCGGGTTACTGTACCTCCAGATTTTTCAGCGTACCCTTCCACTCGCAGCCCTGGTCTTTCCAAGAACAGTAGACGGACAGGCCCTGGAATTCACATACGGATTTTTTCCTTCTTTAAATAGAAAAATATCTTTTTAGCTCCATTTATAAAGTGATAAATCATTGTGATATAGGAAATTTAAGCCCTAAAAAAGCCTACCTGAATTTTGCGCATCGTGTTCTTGTCCAGCTTGCCCGAGCCGGGGGCGATGTCGGACGCGCAGACCAGGCATTTTGGGAGGCTAAAATGTGGTCCTCAGTTTTTCGGATCAGTTGCAAGCTAGCCGACACAAAATTTTCCATAAGAACCTCTGATAGCCTGCTCAGCCTTTGAATGATGTGGGAATCACAAGCTAGCAGAGATTCTTTAGGAAAGGGCAGGCTAGCAGAGATTCTTTAGGAAAGGGCAGGCTAGCAGATATTCCTTAGGAAAGGGCAGGCTAGCAGAGATTCTTTAGGAAAGGGCAGGCTAGCAGAGATTCTTTAGGAAAGGGCAGGCCAGCAGAGATTATTTTGGAAAGGGAAGGCCAGCAGAGATTTTTAAGGAAAGGGCAGGCTAGCAGAGATTCTTTAGGAAAGGGCAGGCCAGCAGAGATTCTTTAGGAAAGGGCAAGCTAGCAGAGATTCTTTAGGAAAGGGCAGGCTAGCAGAGATTCTTGAGGAAAGGGCAGGCCAGCAGAGATTATTTTGGAAAGGGAAGGCCAGCAGAGAATTTTCAGGAAACGGCTATCAACACAAACCCCTCAAGGCACTCCTGGCAATACAGATGACCGCAAGGGAGTTTTGTGGCGGAACGTAGGGCCTGAAAAACGCGATTGCAGGCTCTTGAACCCTGGATACCTGCTCGCATCTGGGACATGCCAGCTCGTCGGGGAGATCCTTCTCGAAGAGGATGTCTACGGTATTCGGGTCGACGTTTTGGCCGTTGGCCGCCGGGGCCGCTGCGTAATTGTTGCCGATCGGAGGGGCTGGCGTTGGTGGAGCCGGGGAGATGGCCTAAAGTTCACCAAGGAGTTCATAAAATTACCAGTAAATTTTGAAGCTAATGAAAGCTACAGTAACCCTCACAATTGGCGCGAATCCGGCCTCCATCGATTGGACCTGCTCGGCTGTCACCGGACGCGGCGGAAGGAGTTGAACCATGTTTTAGGGTTACGGTAAAATCTGAGTCTCCTGGAATTTGGGTTGTTTTCGGGTCGGAATTCGAGATTTGAAATTCTGAATTCCGGCATATTCTCCCGTCAGCCGTTCGTTGCTAGGTGTCGCCTGGAGACGTCCGCTGGATTTTTGCGTGGGCCTTTGGATAAAAATAAAGAGAGAGAGAGAGAGAGAGAGAGAGAGAGAGAGAGAGAGAGAAAGAGAGCGAGGGATCGACAGAGAGATAGAGAAAACAATCATGTTTTAGAAAAAACAAATCAGACTTTTAATGCATTTTAATCAGATCCTTGTTAGCATCCCTTTTCCGAAATGATCTCTGTTAGCCTGCCCTTTGCTAAAGAAACTCTAAAATCTTTTTTGTTGGTTGTTGGTTTTCCCATCCTCCCCCCTCCCTTCATAGATAGTTGTGTTGTGTGGAGTATGGCGGAATGGCCTTGGTGGTGTGGGGTGCCGATCTCCCATTCAACCGGCCAGGGGGGACCCATCCCCCCTTTGGGTTATGCCCAGAATTACTCGACGACCTCGAGACTCTATTCAGAAGCTTTTTTGGCCTTTTAGATTGTCGAATTCTAGATTGCTTCAAACCTCTCTCCCCTCTCTCTCTCGCTCTCTCTCTCTCTCTCTCTCTCTCTCTCTCTCTCTCTCTCGCTTTCTCTCTCCTTGACAATTTATGGCAGCTCCTTCTTTTTTGGCATTCTATGGCAGGCATGCTAGCAGAGGTGCTTTAGGAAAGTGCAGGCTGGCAAAGGTTCTTTGTGAACCATATCCACAATTGATTGCGTATCTTTCTTATCTTAGGCTAATTCCAGAGTGCATGCAATCCATGCCAATTTTATAAATTTTTGCCTTCCCAGCCCCTTTAAATCCCCGGCAGGCTCCCCAGGAATTTTTTTCTGCACCCAAAAAAGAATTGTACAGGCGGCTGGTAGGAAGGCTGGGGGCGATGGGGTGGCCTTGGCGGAGACTTCCTTGGCACTGACCTACTTGCGGGGACACCTGAAGAGAGAGCGGGAGAGAGAGAGCGACGAGAGATAGTGAGTGTCCACACACAGTCCACTCCCGCACCTCCTCAAATCACCCCCCTAATATGCGCCCCCTCCTCGTCTGACCACCTTGAGCGAGGAGGTCGACGAGGACGACTAGGAGGGGCACCTCGTAAATCTGTACGCCGCTGCACTATGAACGTTTTTAGAAGCGCCTCGTATTTTGATGATTTTTGTCGGTTTTTACGATGATCAATTTTTGGGCTGTCCATAAAATTTTGTTCCTGAATCTGTACATTGCTACACTAAAGACGTTTTTAGGAATGTCGCGTATTCTGACGATTTTTGTCGGTTTTTCCCGCACTTCGATGACCAATTTTTGAGCTGTCCTTACAGAAATTTTGGTTTCTAAATCTGTACGCCGATGGACTATCCACGTTCATATGATCGTGTCGTCGTTTGAACAAGAAATGCTTATTTGATCAAATTTATAAAAATTTTTCTGTCTCTTTAATAATATAATCGAGAATTTATAGCCGAGAACCTCTGTTTTGGGACATTTTTGTGTTTTCTTGCATCCTTTACTCCCAGTACAATTTATTTCAGTGTTTTTTCCCGTTCTTACAGTTCCCCCGTCCTTTTGCTAGAGGTTTTTTTGGTTGTCTTCTTGTCAATTTTTTAGCCTTTTTCTAAAGACCCTTCCGGGGACCTTTAGCAACCATTTTCTGTGCATTTTCTCAAATCTAATAATATCTAGCCACACCCTAATTAATGAGAAACGTCCCCCGTTCCTTCCGTCCTACCGGATTTCACCCGTTTTTCCGCAGCCGCGCCGCGCCCGCCCGGGGGATTTCGATTTTTTCGATGCCACCCTCAGATCTCGGCGCGCGAGCCGGGCGAAATCCTCGTATATCTATAGAGAGAGCGAGAGATAGAGAGAGAGCGAGAGAGAGGAAAGAGAAAGAGATAGAGCGAGAGGGGAAGAGAAAGCAACAAAACGATCGTGGGGAGGAGGGGGATCGGGGATTGGAAATGGGGGGCACGGCCCGGCACCGGATCTACAGTATCCCGGGGAGGGAGAGAGAACGGTCATTTCCCTCCCCCCAGAGCTCGAGAATTTCTCTCTATCTTTTTTTTCTCTCTCTCTCTCTCTCTCTCTCTCTCTCTCCTCCCACGCCAAGAAAGGGAACTTTTTGCAAGAAGCAAGCTGCAGACAAAAGCAAAAAGAGGCCCTAGGATCAATGGCACGCTAGCAGGGATTGTTTAGGAATTTTAAGTGCAGACTAGCCGAGATTCTTATGGAATTTGGGCAAGCTAGCGTCGATCATTTGGGAATTTCAGGCATGCTAGCAGGGATCCTTTGGAAATCGGATGGGAAGCTAGCTGAGGCCATTTGCGACTCTAGAAACTCAGGACATTAGAGATCCTTAAAGAACTTAAGCGTAGGGTAGCTAGCGGAGGCAATTTGGGAACTGATGTAAAGCTGGCGGAGACTATTATGGTAAAATTTAAGGCGTACCTGGCATCTCTGAAGGACTAGGCAGGCTAGCAGAGATCATTTGAGAATTTAGCAGAGATCATTGAGGATTTAGGGGCGAGCTAGCACGGAAAATTTAGGATTGGAGGCCAAGCTATTAGTGGATTTTGGAAAATTCGAGGTAAGTTAGCAAAGATTTAGCTAAGGATTTCAAACGAGCTAGAAAAATCATTTGGGGAGTAAGGGCAGACTAGCAAAGGTTATTTGGGACTGATCATCCATTTAATAGATATTTAAATTCATTTTAAAATTCAGTCTCAAATTTCTTTGAAAATGGCTTAAATTTAAATTAATCGTCAATTCAACAAATTCATTTTCCAATTTTTTTAATTTTGAAATTGATTTTTATAACCCCCCCCAGGCGTTCGGTGTATCCCCACGTATTCCCCGCCACTTTCCCGACCGAGCCTCGTCCAGGGGTTAGAGGAGAGCGAGTTTGTGCCCCCCTGGGGGCACAAACCCGGTTCTCGCACTCAGATCGCGCGAAATTTGCATATTCCAACCCGCGCTCTCCCACCAGCCCTTCAACTTTCACGTCCGGTTCGGGCGATGTCGCCGACCGGACAGTGAAACCGGGTGGTGTCAGTCATCCTGACCGATCCCCCCTTGGACTCGCTGCTTTTTCCGTTGATCCGGACCGGGGTGGCAGCGTGCGGGGAGTCCGGAAGGATTTTTGGATTTGGGAGGGCGTGAAGCTTGTAATAGAGGATGGAAGCCGAAGCATAGGCTAAGCCAAGCTAAGCCTAAGTCTAAGCTTAAGCCTATAAGCCTGAACTAAACCTAGGATAAGCTGACTTTAAGCGCAAGCCTAAGTTTAAGCCTAAGCTTAACTCTAAGCCTAAGCCTAGCAGAGACCATTTGGAAATTGTGGGGCTCGCTAGCCAAGATCATTTAGGAATCGAGTGCAGGCTAGAGGAGATTCGTTGGGAATCACAACCGAATCCGGGGAGTGTTTTATGAGGTCCTAGATGGGTCAATCTAGCAGAGATTCTTTAGGAATTTATGCCAAGCCTTACGTAGATCTCGTTCTCGCTCACTCTATTGCACTCTCTCTCTCTCTCTCTCTCTCTCTCTCTCTCTCTCTCTCTCTATCTCTTTCCCAGTATCAAGCTTTTCCATGCAATTCCGACAAAATCCTCCCATTCCTCCCCCTAAAAACCGGGGGGTCAGCAGTGAAATTTTAGGGCTCGGGATTGCGGGGGGAAGAGTGCAAGTCCGGGTCGTGAAAGCCCTCCTTTGTGTCATAGGGGGAGCACGAGCTCTTCAAAAGGGGAGCCTGTATATAGGAAAGTGCGAATTTTGAGCTCTGTCTCGCCCTCTCTCTCTCTCTCTCTGTTTCGCTCTCTCTCCCGCGATCGTTCCGGATTTTTGGCGAGCTGACCGGCTCGTGCTCACCGCGCGAGCCCCAAAACGAGTCCCCGGGTCACGCAGCGTAATAGCCGCTGTGGAACATGGATGCCCTCATGGGCGTCGCGGGTCAATGGCTACTAAATGGAGATGGGGCAGGCTAGCAGAGAGAATTTTGGAATTGAAGGGTTGAAGGCTAGCAGGGATCACTTGGGAATTAATTGAAGCCACGAAGCATATGCCATTTGGGAATGGGGGGGGGCAAGCTAGCAGAGACAATTTGGGAAGGCGGGAGTAGCATAAAGTTGGGAATTGGTGGGGCTGAGAGGAATTTGGGATTCGAAGGCCTGGCTAGCAGAGATTATTGAGGAACATGAGGCGGCCTAGCAGTGTTCAGTAAGGAATCCTGAGGCCCAAAAATGGTTGCTGAACTCCTCAAAAATCTTTGCTAGCTTGCCTAGCCCAAAACCCAATTTTTGCCTCCTAAACCCCGTCATTTTCCGATTTTCATGCTCCATTATATATTTAAGTTGAAGCAACCGGTCACCGTTCCTCGCTTCCCCAAAGCGACCCCCGGAGCGAGGGCGAGAAAAAGAGGAGCCTGAGGTGGTGGTGGTCGAGTAGAAAAGGGGCCTAATGCCCCGGCGAGTGTCTCGGGTTAATGGGGAGAAGAAGCCGGTAGGGTTGAGCACGAGCTCCAGAATACGCTGACTGGTCTGTGAGGGGGAGCTTCACCTGGTCAAAAATCGGCAAGAGTTAGGCGCTACGGTACTTGTGGAGGTCTTTCTCTCCCAATACCTCTCTCTCTCTCTCTCTCTCTCTCTCTCTCTCTCTCGCTCTCTCTCTCTCACCTCTTTCGATTCAATCAGATTACCGTAGCCAGCCGCAATTCCTAAATGATCTCTGCTAGCTTTCCCCATTCCCCAATTTTTGTTGCTTCCTCAACGATATCTGCTATCTTGTCAAGGCATTTTTTATCAATAAATCTTTTTTGTAAAAGTTCCTATTAGCAGGGAAAACCTTGAAGCCAGGGCAGGCCTGCAGAAACCATTTCTCGAATTTTTCCCTTGGGACCCCGGGCAATCTGGCAGAGATTCTTTAAGACTTTCACGAGTTTA